GCCTTCTCGCGTCAGAATCTTGGGACAAAAGGGGCTCTGTGCGTTCGAGAATTCTTGCTCTCTCTCTCTGCATCACTGTCGAACTTGGATGCTTCTTTGACATCCCGGCGACTCTCCTCGGACTCTCGCTGCAGAAAATGAAAGTGCATCCGCGCACGAATGCTCTCTAAAGCGAGCTGTGAATAATCATTTGTCTCTTGCTAATTAAGGGAGGGAGAGATGGGACCTTTCAATTTGCGCTTCGAGCGCAACACTCGTTAATCTCGACGCGACTTCTGTCCTCGAACATGATTGAAAGTCAACGAGAGTTATTGTCTGCTCGCTTTTCTCACGGAGGACGCGACTGTTTGTAAACAGCTGTATTATTCGCAATTGCTCGCAGGAATCATCGACCATCATTACCCGAATAAAATTAAATTTGTGTCTACGTAGCCTAAGGCAGAAAGGAAAACAATCTGTTGGAAAAGTCGATGAAACGTTCAAGTATATCGCAAGAAGATGATGAAGAAATAAATTACCGATAGACTCAACACGAACAAACGAGGCGGATATATTTAAATCTGTATCACGCATGTGTGTCTTCTATATAACAGTTAGAACAAAATGACACGACTGCTTCCTCGCGATGCAAAATGAAGCGGAAAGGGTTAACCGGATTCAGAAGGAGAGGCAGCATGTGTGTAGCGGAATGTAGCGCGCGGGATTCCAGCTGGCTGCGGCTTTAGAAATAGCGACGCGTTAAAGATTCCGAACGCGGACCGCAACGTTTCTCTCTCTTTCTCTCTCTCTCTCTCTCTCTCTCTCTCTTTCTCTTCGACCGGTCACGTTTGGCGATAGAGCCGCGCGACTCGGATCCTTGGAGGTGTAGGTAGGCAGGTAGATACTTCTCGGGACGGACTCGCAAAAGAGAAAAGCACACGAGCGAACCCGCACGCGTGCATATATACGGGAGATATCGGACACAGTCGCAAGACCAGACGAAGCGCACGTTTTCAGCACGCGCAGTAACCGAAGTAAGCGAATTTCACCTCGAGGTAAAGGGTCGCCGGCAAGGTCGACATACGATGCAATCTTAGGAAGAAGGAATAAATCAAAGAGATATAGAACAAAATATACCTAGACACGCAGTGTAGGCTAGTATCTAGATACATTTTGTGTATCCCAGACAACACCAAGTCCAAAATTGCCGCATAAGATATTTTTTTGATATATCATATCATAAGATTTCTTCAAGCTGTCTTCAAGATTTCTTAATCATATCTTATGCGTCAATTTTAGACTTGGTGCTGTCTGGGATCTGAGTCTGTATCTGAGATATATTCGAATTCAAGTATTTATATCTGTAGCAAGATACAAAACATGGTATCTGAATTGCTTTTTTCAGATACATTTGCAGATAGATTTTTACATATTTTTTTAATAGCCCAATTCTTTAAATTTTGAAAAGATCAAGGCTGCAAGTTTTCAATGTATCGTCATCAACACCGGTTGAGCGATTATTAAGCATTAGTTAAATTTTAGTACCATGACGAAATAGTGTGAATGACGATATCTTTGAGGCATTTTTCACGTGTTAAGACTAACAAATAAAGTCGTAATATAAACAAAAGTATTAATAAAAATAAAAGAATTATTCAGTACATTTTGTGCATATTACCATTATTAGGATAAAATATAATTTCAAAGTATCTGATATGTATCTAAGATACTTAGTATCTGAGTATCGAGATACATTTTAAATTTATCTTACCCATCACTGTATACATGTATCTTGTATTATGTAGAATAAATTGCTAGAATCTCATTGTCAACTTCTTATTGTCAAAGAGCAAAAAATTGATCGGTACCAGATATAAGAATGCATTTTTCGCGAAAAATGTAAAAATCTTTTGTCGACGTTCGCCGAGGAGATCGGCTGGAGAACAAGGAACCGGACTTTATTCGCGGCGAATCTCGGAGGACGCGAGACGACAGGGCAGGTCGTTATTTGCGGTCGCCGGACGACCGCATGTAAATCACGTCCATCGAGAGGAGAGACCCGCGACGTTCTCTGATCGCATCGCAGCGCGAAGTGTCGACGAGAGGAAGAGAAGCCGTACGAAAGTAACTGGGACGATTCGATAAAGGTGACTCGCTTTCGACGAGGTCGCGACTGCGAGAGGTCCACGATCGATCCCGAGAGAGGCGAATCGACGCTAATTCAGGTCGAAGAAATTCGACATTAATCGTCCTCCGCTTTGGGAAGATGCGCTTTTACATCCAGGCGCGCGTGCATGTATAAATTGCCTTTATTATTTAAAAATAGATTCAGTTGACCGATGCGCATTGATATATTAACATTGATTAATTTTATTTTAATTAAGAAAGATGTCTTTCGAAACGCAACAACAACCCGATAATCTATGACCTACGATAATTCTGTCAAGACGAATTCCGGGACTTAAATACGATTGGAAGATTCGCGAAGTGTAGCGAGAGACATCTAATTTCTCAGACAAGTTATACGTCGAAAGCTCGAGAGAGAGGAGGAAAGAAAGAGAAAGAGAAGGCCGGAGAAGATATATTTTATTCAACGAAACGAGATAATTAACGGATCTGAGGGACTGGAACGACGAACGATGTTACGCAGCTCGACTGGTTGAACCGGAGTAATGTGCGGATATGGTATCCAAGGCGTGGAAAATGATATGGAACAAAATGCAAAAGCATTCTTCCGATAACGAGGAAAAATTGACCGTCGCACCGAGCCATTTGTTACAGAAATCGATTCGTTGCATATACTTTTGGCTGCGTGAGCATGGTATTCATCATTTCGAGCTCGATTGCGATTAATTTACGCCCGTTATTTTAAACCTATCGTTAATTTAATTCTAGTGCGTATGGGGTAATGTAGATTTTTTATATAATATTTAATATATATTGCGGATAATTAAAAATCAAGATAATAATATATATTTTCTCGAGTCAATTTTTTTATAATTTTCCCCCTACAAAAAGATATAAAAATTTTAAATATACAAGAACGCACTATGTATACAAGAAACACATGAGAGAGATTTATCCTTGGCCGAGCAGTTCGAATAGAAACGTCTAATAAAATTCCCCCCGAAATGTGTTTTCGTGAACAAGTACTCTCAACACTGTTATAGCATCATAAACAACTCTGTACTGACATCGAAGGAGAGAAGGAACGCTTCTTATATACTAAGAGTTGCTACTTGTCGTAGTATCTCACATATTATGCGCGTTGCTAGTTTTTCATTCGCATCACTATATTTACAAACAGTGCCATATTAATCATCCGACACGGAATTCGCTTCGACGATTGTGCGTATATATACATTTTGGGTCTACATTTCGTTCCGCTAGTAAGCGAATCTATCAGAAATTTGTCCGTACGAAATTTAGCGAAATTTAGCTCTCATCTCATCTTGCTGCGATAATTTGACAAACATTTTTATTCTTTTTAGTTTCCATTATTGGGTCATAGCTATTAGATTATTGAGAATAAAAATTCATCAATGTTCCAGAACTGACGAAAAAGTTTTTAATGGCAAATTCCTGGTATCATTCGGAGACATTCGGAGAGGGTGTTCTAGACTTATCGTACCACTCGTTAATGGGAGATTCTTGAGGCGATTTAAAGACGATTTTTCCTCAGCGAAAATGTCGAGACACCAATAATTTTCGAATTATAAGCAGTTGAAATTAAAGGCTTTTTTGGAAACTAAGTCTTGTGGAAATAAAATATTAACAGAACTATTCTTCAGTTAATTTTAGGTAGAGTTTGCTTTAATAGAATTTTAATATAAGATTTAGTTATAAAGATAATAACAAAATTTGAGAACATGCTAAAAATGATGGCCTCCCTCAATATTTTCACTAAGAAAAAATCGAAAAAATCTCCAAATGATATCAGGAATCTGCCATTAAAAACTTTTCCGCCAGTTCTGGGACGCCCTGTATATATATTCCTAAATATTTTATTAAAAATAAACCGTTTTATCATTACGATTTCAAATATTCATTTTGTGATACAATCCCTTATCCCTTTTATTTCCTATCTATCACATTTATATTTTGTAAAATAATTGGTAGATAACACGTTATACGAATCACACCGAGCAGATCGATATGCAACGTGCAGACATTTAAAGGGCAACATCACATATAGCGACAGATTGCTGTCGGTATAATTCGAAAACAACTAAAATGAAAATTACTACTTTTAAAAGCTCTGCTCCTTTTCAACAAAATGTCCCATGCAAGATGACGAAATATCCCCATACATTCTTCAAACGATTCTTTCTTCACACAAATATTCATGCACGTATACGTATATACGCCCATCAAATTGCGCAATTCGAAATATGTTTGTTCGCTTAATGAAAAGTCTCCTTGTGCAAGCTGCATAGAAAATATTCAGATAAGATTGAACCGATTGATAAACACGATAATTTTTGCAGGAATCTCGAGTTCGGGCTCGCAAATGTCAGGCTGAGGAAATAAAGGTCACGGAATACAATAAGGGCGTGACGAGTTCCTTTCGAGGCCTATATATCCGAGGCGAATCTCACGCCCTTTCGCGCGAGCTGTCCCGAAAAGCCGGCACCCTCAGGCACCTATAACACGCGTTATCCTCCGGTCGTCCTCGTCCTCGGTCGAGGACACCGGGTTCGCCGGGTCGATAGGTGTACGTATACACTTGACGCGTGACATTTCCAAGGACACCCGAAGGTGAATCTCGCGAATTCGCGGTCGACGCAAAATCGCGAGAGGAGACAGAGAGAAAGAGAGAGAAAGACGGAGAGCGAAAGCCGGCGCGAGCGGTCGCTGGAAGGGCGGAAGGTTGGTTGTCGGCGGCGGCGATGGCGTGGCACGAGGAGGAGAGATCGATGCCGACGTCTGGGGCCACGACGAGAGGAGGCCTCCCTCGCAGGAAGCATTATTTCGCGATAAATCAAATTCAGTAAGGGTGGTAAAAGAAGGTGGGTACTCACTATCCGCTGTTCGGAGTATACAGCCTACAGCTTCCTCTTCTTCGTCGTCGTCGTCAACCCTGCCAAACTTGCTCGCAGCCAAGCTTCCTCTGGATCCTAATATCCTGTCGATCGCAGGACACACGATGACGAAGTTCACAAGATTCTGAGGGTGAAGTGAAGGGTAGAAAAGCACCAAAAAAAAAAAAAATATGAGAGAAGGAGCAGTGTCCAAGGGGTGTTGTGATAACACCGGATAACAACACCAGCGAGCTCTCTTTCTCTCTCCTGCACGTATATTCCGTACGACACTCCGCGCGACACTACGCCGAGACAAACGGGTAGATTACTACTTCGGCTGAGTGGGTAGAGGCCGCTAGAAGAGGGGGCGCATTCGGGAGAACGTACCGAAAAAGGGGAGGCAGCCAAACCACCGTCGGTTCTCTCTTTCTCTCTCTCTTTCTTTTCCTCTTTCTATCTCTCTCTCTTTCTTGCTCCGTTCGCGCGGGTGTCTCGAGCCTGACTGACACTCGGCTCCGGATCGCGCAGCCGGTCGACCGACCCCTTTGCTCCCTCCCTCTCCATCTCTCTATCTCTCTCTCATTCTTTCCTCCCTCTCCCTTTTTCCTTCCTCGTCTCACTTGTCGGTGTTTCTTTCTATTTCATCCACAATCTTGGCGATCCCTCTCTCTTTCTCTCTCTCCCTTCTTTTCTCAGCTCCACCGATGTTCATCGCACGTATCGGGTGGTTTTCTTTCGCCTCGGATGCCTCTCGACAGGAAGTCGGGAATTAGATCGACACCCCGTATGTAGCAGAGCGAACGCGAATGAGCGTTGTGCTTTCCCATGGGACCTCGCGAATTATTCCAGTTAACATGAGTGGTTGTATCTATCAGCGCGTCTTCTTGTCGTGTATGAATGATAATTACGAATTAATGATAATTACGAAGTTTCAGGTCAGCGCAATTGGTACCAGAAGATTTGCCGAATCTACATCTAAAAATGAGAGTTTGTATTCAGAGACTAATAAATATTGTGTATCCTATACAGCGTAACAAGATTGCAGCAGCATTGTGGCAACATTTCATTGCAATATTACAACATTGCATAAACATTGTGAAATGTTGTAGCAATCTTGCTGCAAGGTTTCAACAGCGGTAAAATGTCCGCTTTCAGTAATATTGTACTATAATATTGCAGCAATAATGCAATAAAATAAATATGTAATATTACTATTGGATTATTGGAAATGTGTTAAATACATAATCGGACTGAATGTTCTGTACCTAATATTTTTTGCGTGAATTTTATTTTCATAATATTTCTGAAATGTTGCTGCATACATGCTGCAAATTCATGCCTATATAATATTTCTGCAATATTGCTATGCAATGCGCAATATTGCTATGCAATGTACAATATTGCAATGTAGTTGCAATATTGCTGCAAACTTATGTGCTGTATGGGATATTTTTTCAGAACCTCCCCCTCCCGATGACATATAAAATTATGCGAAAATTGATCGAAAAATCTCGCGATGTTTCATAATTCTCTTTTATTGATTTTTTTCAAGTATATTTCATAATTGTTCCACACGCGAGTTTAATTGAATAAAACAAGTGCGAATGAAATTAGATTTGCGCACTTTGAAAGTTTTTTCAGTGCAGAAAAAGCGTGATATATTATTTAAATAAACATTTAATAGCGGCTTTTGTAAGGGATTAGTGGATTTAGTTACACGTAATCTTGGATGAAGCTCTCTCATTACAATTTCATATCCATATCAAAAGCATACACACGATATATTATTTCCTAAATTATATAAATAAATATTAGTGCTTTGTGTACTTTCTATCAAAATATTAGCAAAATTAATTAATTCAATATCTTTATATTGAATCCTATCGAAAAATAAATAAATTAATATTAATTTATTAATATCTCTTGTATTATTTTATATTGTATATGTTTTTACATCATGTATATATATATATGTGATATATCATATATTTTAATAAAAATATCAAGACTTCCGAAATAATAATCCAGAAAATTTCTAAAGGGTATCTAGAGGACGTCCGACATATTAAGATTAGGTCTATCTTAGACTTTCGAGCTTTTTGAATATCATGTTCAAGAATGCTTTCATTATGCTCGTTGAATCTGTTTAATTCAACAATTAACGAATCGAAGCCCGAAGCTGCAAAGATCGAAACGCATCTATCTAGGAACTGATTTTCTCGTCGGCCTTCTCCTGCGGGATGTCTTCGATCATCACGCTGTCTGTCTGGACCAGTTTAACGCGATCGGCCGGCTTGGATCTCATCAGAATGAACGGCAGCTCGGCTGTCAACTCGCCGCCCAGAGCGCCCAAGTACAGCTTGACCTTGACAGCGTAAGAGACGATGATGCCGAAGGAGTCGCGCACGTCTGGCGAGGTGAGCAGGGTGCTGGATGCGAGTTCGCATTCTTCTCGCTTCATCATGCCGTCCAGGGCGATGCCGCGACGTTGCTTGTTGCTGCCCATGCTGGGCTTCAGATAGAAGACTTTCTGCAGGGTCGAGCCTGGATTGATCGGGCAGCCATCCTGCGTCTCGACCGCGTCTATCACCGTCCTGAACTGACCGTTCTGGAAGATGACCACATCGATGCCCTGCTGCACCAGGGTCTTGATCTTCTTCACCACTTTGTTGCTATTGTTGCGCACGGATATGTTGACGGCAATTGTCTCCCCGTGATTGTACAGCTGCTTGTCCAGAGTGACCTCGAGCTCCAGCTCGCCTGGACTCAGCATAAAGTCCTTGCGGACGACGGTGCAGGGTTGACGACCCTGCTTCGTCGGCGCGTACTGGATCTTGCGGATCCCCATCATGACTGTGCTCCGCTTATGAGTCAGGTCGGTCTCCGTTTCGCCGCAGTACACCTTCACGTAGTAACTGACGCCGCAGGGCTCGCCAGTTTCCTCGGGTCCAGGCTGAAGGGTCACGCTGGACGGTGCGCATTGCGGGAATGTAAAGTTAAACGGTATCGCGTTCGGGCCCAGTTTCTGCAGCAACCTATATATTCCGGAAATATATATACATATATACCTCGATTTTTCATAATATAATTTACTTGTTACAATTTCTTATAATTCTGATAGTATTAGTTTATTTTATACGGATATTTTGAACGAAGAACAGACTGATTAAATATTATGAATAAATATTGATTTTTAACATATATGCATAATCGATTGCATAACGAGACTTTTCGAAGCTCAACCCCTATATTCTATATCTTCGAGTCTGAAAGTATCATCCTGACCTGTCCTGCAACTTGGTAGGATTGGATTCGGACTTCTTAACTTGCGGGTAAATCTGCTCCGATGTCAGATAGAGATCCTTTTGGAAGTTAAGGCCCATCACCTCGTCTTCCTCGCGGCCGTACCGGAAGCTGCACACCAGTTGGCACCACACCTTCCTGCCGCTGTCTACGTAATCCTGATTGACCAGGACTACCCCGTCGATCGGTTCGGTGCCTGACAGATAGTCGATGAAATCGCGTTTGCCCAGGTAGACAGCGAGCTTGCCGTTGGGCGAACATTTCTTGTAGACCTTGAAATTCGCCACCATAGTGAAAATACTTCTTCTTTTTTCTCTATACCGCTAACACAGAAGACGACTGGATCGTCGAGTCTTAAATCGAGGACTTATATACCGGGTGGTTACGGTGACACGTGATCGATTTCTAAGGTATCTTAAGGCGTTTAGCGATGCGGATGAAGCAATGTTTAGGTCGTCTTTGTGAACTTTCTGCGTTTTTCAGACGCTCACGTGGTGCGGATTATTTATGACGCGAATGCGTGCATCATTCATTCTTTTTGCCCATGAATAATTTAATTTTAAGAATATTATCATTGCGTTGCAAGAGACAATAAACTGGCCTTATCAAAACATGTATCCTTACATAATATCTTTTATAAGCTTGCTGACTTTCAGTTAGTTGATCGGTTGATCTTCGAGCTTCTCGGGCTTCGTTTCGACATTCAAAGTAATAAGTAGAAATATGCTAATAATTTCTTAAGAAAGCATTATTCAACGTATGATTATCTAAATTTTTATATTAAGAGTTGCATTTTTTGCGATTTGCAAAAGTAATGTTCTTTTGTATTAAAAAGGAAAATATTTTCTATTTGTAAAATTATTTGTAACATTAAATATATCCCAATGAAAATGATGGTTGAATCGACGTCGAATTGATGTCAAATTCGTCGAATCGATGTCGAATCAATGACGATTCGACCAATCATTTCTTACTGGGATACGAAATAAAATACTAAAGATATGAATTAATTATCCTAAATTAGTTTTACTTAGTTTTCTTAATTAAGAATATAATATAAAAATAAGAAATCAAGGATTAATGCCGTCATTAAAGTGTATAAATCTATATACACTTTATATGCAATGTATAATTAATTTTATCGCACCACAGGGCCTATATGAACCCCAAACTCATTTCAAAGTATGCGCTTCTAAACTTCTAATAGACAATATATTCGGATCCTTTTCATAATTCAATTTCACTATTTGAGAAAGGGGTTCTAATCGGTCATAGCACCTACTATAATCAATAATGCGACACAATGTTTAAATAAAAAGCAAACGGATCCCACAGGCTCTTACTGTTGAACTTTTGTAATGATAAATTGATTTTGGTTTTTGTTAAATTAATAAACTACAGTTATAATAAGATATATATAAGTTATGAAAAATATTTTGTACTAATCAAATTAATTTTTTCGCAGAGGAATGCCTTTTTTAGATAAAAATGGTTATTCTTCTCTTTAATGAATTATTTAAAAACATCAAATGGCATTTTGAAGAGTATACGTTAGACTGGCAGAAACAAATAATTGTTACCTTCTCTTAAAAAATATTATTTGGGCATATAATGTGGAAAATTTACGAAGATTGAAGAATGGAAAAAATATCGTAAACAATTTTTTTTTGACAATAAAATATTAAATTTCGTTCGCCAGGAATGAAATACTAAGGTAGTAGATATTAAACTGACTACACTGGCTGTCTATTAGATTTGTTAAACTATATTTATTGACGTTTCGACATACGGGCTGTGGTCCTTTTCAAAATTACAATAGAAGCATTAATGAGTTACTGCATATCGTTATTGACATTTAAAAGTACGCTCCGGTGAGACTTAACTTAGATCGGATGGTAAATTAACTGCGTTTCAGTTGTGTCATCTTGCCACGACTGAACACACTGTACTGTAAGTGTGTTCAGTCGGCAAGATGACACAAGTAAAACGCAGTTAATTACCATCCGATCTTAAGTTAAGTCTCACCGGAGCGTACTTTAAATGTCAATAACGATATGCAGTAACTCATTAATGCTTCTATTGTAATTTTAAAGGACCAGCCCGTATGGTCGAAACGTCAATAAATATAGTTTACTAATAGAAGCCAGTGTAGTCAGTTTAAATCTACTACCTTATTTTTTTTGCATATAATATTAATTTTATTTGCATAAATGACTAAAAATTCGTTAAATATGATTATACATTTAATTAATTTGTAATGAAATAAAAAAAAAATCATTTATTATTGAAATAAAACAGATGGAGTACAAATAATAGCTGTGTCCCTGTTTTATTCATATAATTTTTTTCTACTAAAGTATATATACATTTACTTTGTAATAGAAAAAATATTCGATAAATATGTTTATAAACATATTTATCGAATATTGGTCATTTATAAATAAAAAAATCAATATTATATGCAAAAAAATTTTTTACGATATTTTCTTTTACCTCAGCAAAACCAATATAATTGTTACATTGCTATAATAAAACGAAATATAACAGGTAAATAACGTGTACGTTAATGTAACATCCATGTAGTTGTAATTTCTCACTCATAGATGTAACATTTTAAATATATTACATTGTAATTATTTGTATTTATACCAAATAGCAATTGATGTATTGATAAGTCAGTGCTATCTTGGGATATAATGACAAATAACTACAATGTAATATATGTAATATTAAAAATTTATATATATGAGTGGGAAATTACAATAAAATATACGTTACATGTAACATGCTTAAGTATATAAATTTATATATTGATATTTTCTTTTACTTTTCTTCAATCTTCATAAATTTTTCACATTCGTATATGCTCAAATAATTATACTTTTTTAAGAGAACATATAACAATAATATCTTTTTTAATGTCCTCTTCAAAATGCTATTTGACTTTTTTAATCGGTTAATTACAGCAAAAATAGCCATTTTTATCTAAAAGAAAGGGATTTTTAAATTTTTTGAATAAAATTTCTTTATACATCAAAATCCAATAAAATTTTTGAAATGAAATTTCTTTATACATAAAAAATAATATAAAAAAATTCTTTATATATAAAAATTATATGAAAAAATAGATGTAAAAATAGCTTGAAACCTACAATATCTCTATTTAATAAGGTAGGAAACTGACAATTCAATAATCAATAATTCGACTTTCAACTTTAGCGACATGGTAATAACATGGTCCTGATTCACAGTTGTATTATTTATGTTGCTGCAGCTGTGCACACACAAAACTGTTCTAAAGCTTTCTAGAAATTTTTGGATAACAGTGAATTTTAACACATGTTATCAGACAGTGCACAGAAATGTCGAAAAATTTGGATATCAATATTGACGCAGTGAGTTTGTTGTTATTAAACATATGTAAAATATATTGTTTGGTCAGGTGATCTTTTATATAGAAAACACTTTATTATATATCATTATTCTAAGTGATGTATATCTATAAAAATGATCCATAATACTTTAAAGATAAAAGAAATTTGGTGTATGACAACTTATTAATATTGTTAAGATGTAATAAACTAAATAAGAGAACCCTAATAAAAGACATTTAATTTATATAATACATTGCAGATGAAATCAATAGCCATCGTGGCCCCACCAGACTCTCCAAAAAAACCTGTAAAGTCCACTGCTGTGGTGAAATATTCTGCAGTTCAAACACCAGCGACATATGCTCAATTACAATGTAATACAGATTTAAATCTTCCACCCAGCAATTGGCTTAGCAGTTCAGTGGAAAGTTATGGTCTGCAAAATGTTTGGTCTCAGAGTACAGGATTTTCTAGTTTTCGCATGGCACATATGTTTCCTGATGATCTTGGCGAAGTAGATGTGGTATCGGATGCAGAAAATATAAAGAAATTACTGAAACTTTCTTATAATCGTGGTGTGATTTCAATGATGGTTCATCGGATTGAAAACTCATTGTTGTTGGATGATTTTGATATACACAAGTATCTACTAAGACAAGCTGAGAATGACTGGGAATGGCTGAAAAAATTCTTCTATGAACATATCTTTCAAAATCTTGGTGACAAGGAGAAACGTTTTTCCACAAGGCATATAGCAGAAATAGTATACAGCAGAAAAATCTGGTGTCTAAATTTCTTTATCATTCTATAGTACTTGCGGATAATGACAAACAAAATGAGAAACCTCAGCTGCCTGTAGAAACATTAGAACCATGTTTACCTGAACCAATGCAAGAGGAAAAAGTACCTGATCCAAATTATAATCATAATTTTGCAAGAAATGTTCTGTGGACGTTTGAGAACATACAGATGCTTATTGGAACAGACATGCCAATATTCGGTGGTCAAACACATCCATGCATAAGCTTACGATTAAGAGATATGTCAAAACCAATTAATGTTTTAACAGGAATAGATTATTGGTTAGATAATTTAATGTGTAATGTTCCGGAAGTAGTAATGTGTTACCATTTAGATGGTATTGTACAAAAATATGAACTGATAAAGACAGAGGATCTTCCAAACTTGGATGATTCCAAGTTTAGTGCTAAAGTAATTAGAGACGTTGCTCAAAATATCCTGAGTTTTCTAAAAAATAATGCAACAAAGGCTGGTCATACTTACTGGTTATTTAAGGGTAAATATTAGACTTAATATAAATTATATCCATATAAATATATATAAATTTATAATCTTTACACATTGATTTTTGATTATTCTATTCATATACAATATTTTTTCATTAGGTGAAGACGACGATGTTGTAAAGCTATATGATTTGACATCACTGTGTAGTGACGTTTCAGAAGAAAAAGGACAAAATCCTTTTACCGTACCTGTTGCAATGTTGTTGTATAGAGTAGCTCGCAACATGAAGTATTCCCCCGATCACCATCGTTACCAGGGAACAATCAGAATGCTGTTGAAAAATTGCATTCAATTATTAGCCAAAGAAAAATATCCCCAGATCGTCACATCAGCGCATTTTATGCTTTCGGATTTGTATATACCATCGGATACAGATCCAGCCAGTCCAGGATTATCGGATCAAAGCGACGAGGAAGACGCTCATAGCGAATGTAGCATGAATCAAGAAAAGAAGGAAGTAGAAGAGGAGAAATTTTGCGCGGCAATCAAATCGTTGCCTCTAGCCAACAGTAAGTAAACGTTTGATCTAGGTATTTCTAATTCTCTAAAATATAAATTACAATTGACTGTTCTTGCAGTAAAGGAACAAATGGAACGTGAACAACCAAAGTACAAAGCACCACCAATTTCTGGTACGATAGAAGAAAGATGTTTATTCGGATTAGAACATGTTACTCATGGACTCGAGTGTCTCCAGTATTTCCCGATTGAGGATAACACCGACGAAGAACAAAAGAAAGCAGAAGAACGGGAAAAGGAGAAACGGAAATATGAGGAGATGCATCCGAATGTAGCGAAACCTTTTCAGGCAATTCCCATGCCTTACACCCCGTTGAACAAACAAGAGATAAATGGCACGTTGAAGAAAAATTTGGAGAATTATAGTCCCGCGCATAAAAAGAAAAATAAGCAAAAGAAGAAGAAAAATGAGAAGAACATGATGAAAGAGATGGCGAGTGAAAATGCTTTATTGTGTAAACCTAAAGCGGAAACATTACCCACGTGGCAAGCGCCAAAAAAGAGCGACAATATTTGCTGGAGCGCTCATTTGAAAACTCTGTTATACGAGAAAGCATCACTGATATTTGCCGTGCTCGCCGAGAAAGAATTTGTGAATAAAAATTACGGCGTCTCTCTGAGATGCATGCTGGAAGTATTGTATTGTCAAAAGATATTGGAAATCTTCTGCGGCATAAGAAACGACAAATCAATTAGTTATCTATTAGGTCGCGCAGGAGACTGTTGTTTCATGATAGTGCAAGATTGGAGCAATGTTGAAAAGCATAGGGAGGATTACGATATGAAAAATGAAATGGAAGAAAAAATAATCGAAGAAGTGTTTAATATAGAGGATCTAGATATGAGTGAATATCGAAATGACATCTAGTATTATATAATAAAAATAATACGAATAATTCTTATTGATGCATATTTCATTACAGACGGTGCTGAATTACTGCCGAAGAAACTTGAAAATTTAGAATCTACTTTACTTTCTTCGTACAAATGTTATGACAAGGCTTTGTCGTTAGAATTGATGGATGTAGATCGAAATAACTTGTTGAGACGATTAGGAAATATTCATAATGAGCTGGGTGTCCTTTACATGAATCAGGCAGGATGTTCGTAAAATTTTCACGTTTAATTTTAATAAAGGATAAGCGAATACACGTTATTCGTTAATAATTAAAAAATATAATTTTTTTACAGCTCGGTTCCAAGAAACGCAAATGGATGAGTCGTCGAATACGGATGTAACTGCGCTTCTAACGCGTTCATTGACACACTTAGAATCCGGCATCGTAGCTTTTCACGACGTCCATGACGAAGCGAATCTGGCGCTTTTACACTCAAACACGGGACGGCTTATGCGACTCTGCGCGCACATGCACGACAAACAAAACATGAAAGAGCGTCATTTTTATAACAAGGCACTCGAGAGTTATCAGAAGGCTCTGCAAGTTTTAGGCCATAGAAAAACGAATTCGGTAATATGGGATAATGTAATGTGGGACATGTCGACAACGTTATACACGATGGCCTCGCTATTACAAGATTATCCTATTGCCGGACATAAGGTACAGTAATATTTTTCCTGTCGTGAAGAAACTGAATGTGTTAATAGATAGATGAATTGATAAATTATTCCTATTGCAGAATGAAGAAGAATTGGAAAGGGAAGTGGTTGATACTCTTCAGAAAGCGCTCAAACATTGTGATGTGGATACTCCTGGATCGCGACAACCAGTTTATCAATTTCGAGCTGCAACCATTCAACATCGATTAGCTTCGTTGTATCATCACGTGTACAGAGAATACGAATCGGATGCGGATAGTAATAAGAAAAGAACTAGCTTGCAGTTATCTAAATTATATTACGATAAAGCGGCCAAATTGCTACTATCATTAGAACAGACTACGGAATATTTGACGGTACAATTGGAAAGAGTCGCTCTGGTGGAACAACAAGCACAAAGTATGTTACTCTTCTCTAGAAATTATTATCTCTCATATAGCAACATTTTTTCATTTAACAAAATTTTATATTTTTTTCTAGACGGTACAACATTCAATAGCAAACTAAAAGCGTACCAAAACGGTTTAGCTATAGTTCTACAATGTATACCTATCATGGAGATATTATTTGAACGAAGTAACGCGGCGAGACAAAAGAAGGAAACGATCGATGATAAAATAAAGGATAATAGCGCGGAACGTGGAAAAGTGATCCAGGAACAAAAGTTAGTGGATGAGAATCCATTGGATGAAAATCAAATAGAGGAAAATCTCGTTGTTCTGCTAGAACAGAGATTACAATTCCTCTTACGATCGTTAACCAAGCTGTTTCTCAGTAAAAGTCCCGTGCACAATAAAAAAGAGTATGTTCTTTTTAAATTCATTATACGATTTCATAAAGATTAAGTAGAGATTAAATTTGTTTAATATTATAGCATGTGTAATATATTTTTCTTTTTAATTTCAGGCACGAAACGCTTGCAAATCTATACAAGCAATGTTACATACGAACGTTGCGACAAAACACGATGTCTGGTTACGCTTTCATAAAACACATGACAGAGCTTTTGCGAGAACTCGACGACATGTTAAAACATATAGAGTCTTAATCTTAAATTATGTAGATAAAGACCATATACAGTTAAAATAATGTGATTTAATGTGATGTATACAAGAGCGCGAAATTTATACATTTCTTTAATCTTTCAAAAATTACGCGACGTGTATATACATATGTGTATATATAAAAGATATAAAACGATGTTAACTATTGTGTATGCCATATAATGATAAAATAATATTAAACAGGTATTTTTTCATTTTATTAATGTTGTCACACGCACCGAGAAACATTTTTACTAATAGCGAATTTGGATATATTAATGCGCACTGGTGCACATTAAAGATTATCACCCACAAATTTGCAGTAGGGTAAGTAATGAAAACATCAAGATACGAATTATATATTATATATTATATATATTATATATATATATATATATATATATATATATATATATTATATTATATATTAAATATTATTCGTGTTGATCGATAATATTAGTTTTTATTTTAATTATTTATGCCATTGTGATAAAATAGCCTTTAATGTGCACCAGTGTACATTAGTGCATCCAATCGACTTTGCTATAATATATGTAAAGAAAATGTATATTGTTAAACTAAAATGAAAAATAAAAGCATTATTTCTGGAAGTATGTATTGTATTATATTTTTATATTCTACAGATTATGTATAATTTTATACGGAAATCAAATTCTCAATGAATATTAGATTCTCAATACTCCTGTCGCCTTTATCAAGTCTAATTAGTACCCTGCTTTCGGGAAGGTCTTATCTGTCGACAGGATAGATATCGGTGTGACATTTTAATTAAAATAGAAGCAAGATCGGAGGGCAAAGTTGTAAAGTCTAAGTCCATCGTCAAGATCGGGGTCTCGTATGTGTGTTCTCCGTGTCTCCGGTCGTCAGAAAGACGGATGGTGTGGCACAAGAGTTTGAATGAGTCTCCATACACGCGACTTGTATACAAATTTTCGATATACACGAGAGGAGTATACCCGGTTCGGTCGAGCGAAAACTCGATAAAAAACTCATTTATTAGAGAATCTGAGATGAGAACCGAGTTTTGTTGCATGCCCGAGAGAGCTCGGTCGAAGTCAAAGATTAAAGGGAGCAAGCCCTGCGGCAAATCACGACTGTCTGATTGTGCGTATATCAAAAACGAAAGTTTTCTCTAAGATGGGATCATTTTTTTATTAGGGACTAGAGATTGAAAAATCTATTTAAAAATGCATCACAGAATATCGAAAATCACGGGATGTCACAGAAAATGCTATCTATTATAGCATTTCTAACATGTGTATATTTCTTTGTCCAATTCGCCTGAATTTAAGATATGTATGTATGTGATACACGAATAGGGAAATAATCAAATGATTAAGATGTCGAAATAATAAACATGTAACGAATAAAAGAAGAAAGCAGAATTAAATACGAATACTTTCAATTCAGGTCTATGTTTTGCAAGCAAAGTTCTCTTGTGATCAAAGTTCTTGTAAGCGATCTCTAACGAGTTCACATTAAGCTTCTATTGTTCTGATATCGACAAGCATACAGAAATTAACAAAGGATTTCAAATTAGAACTTAGGACATAATACATATTCATTAACCTTCTTCTCTTCCACGTATCAATTATCTACTTAATTACATATACAGGGTGTATCTAAATAAGTGCGAAAAATTTTAAGAGATGACATTTTTCTAAAGAGAGAGGTAAAAATTAAGTTTTCAGACAAATGAAAAAAATGAAACTTGGTGGATATTTTTCGTTTCATTTTTTTAATTTGTCTAAAATATGAGAAAATAAATAAAAACTTAAATTTTTATCTCCCTTTTTAGAAAAAAGTATAAGTCCTTAGGGAGGGATAGAGTTTATTGTATAAGAAACCTCCCTTAATTTTCGACAAAGAATCATCTAAAATTTTTCGTACTTATTTAGATACACCCTGTACATAATTGATATTAAAATCATATCGTGACATAAATAATAATTCGATGAATTAAAATTACGTCATGACATAATAATTGCGGATTTTTATTGTGTCTCGCAATAAAAATTCGAAAATTAGTATATTTGTGGCGATATACTTTCAGTTCACCGAATTTTATTATACCTCAACAATTTGATTATACCTCGATAAACTAAAATATGAATACAATTTTCGATCGCACAAGTTCAAACAAATATTCCTGCCGGAGGATATTCCGTATATATTCGACGATGCATGCATATCCGAGTAATATGCCGCGAACTGTTACAGGGGGCAATCGCGACGCTTTGCTTGATTAATTTTAACGAAGGTAGGAACCAATCCATCGCGCTTCGACGGCGACGGTGTCGAGACCGATCGAAGATCGATGAACTACGAGCGGTCGCGTCCGTCCGGTTCGCCGAGATATAACAATTCCAGCTGTCAGTCGCATCCCTCACGCCCGAATGGATTCGACTTCCCAACCCACGGAATCGAGGGTGAGTCGGACACCGGCGGAGAGCGTATGTCAAAGACAAAACAAAAGGAGCAAGCGGAAAAGGGTCGGTCAATTTGCTGTCTCCTTCCCGCTTTCATTTCCCACCCCATCCTAGTTATACGTATCCCGCGAACGTTCTGTATAACTTGACCCTTCCGTAGTGATGCGATTTCGGTGGTCCCTTAGAACCGATATCGTTGAACGATATCTACATCCATACGAATAATTTATAATTTATTAATAATTTATATTCCCTTTGTTCGTTTTGCAAAGTTTATCGTGCTTCTCTCCGCGCAAGGGAAATATGATTTAAAAATCAAATGTTCTCCGCTTTCACCGTGGATAATAATTAAATAATAATAATGATATTTATCAGAAGCTGAGGAAATTGAAGAATAATCCAATTATTTTAGAGTAAAAGAAAAAAATGTGAAGAATTTCTTTCACGCTTTCTTTGGAGTTTTACTTTATTAATTTGAACGCTACGAGTTCTCTGAATATTCATCGCTGTCTCTCCCACGCAAGCAATCTCTCTCGAAATATTATCGCGACATTGCGAGTTCGGTATCGATGTTGGGCGACATTGCGGTTAAATATCTGCCAAACCCGAAGACACGACCCACCTAAATCCGCCACTTTTAATGAAACGTACTTGACGGGGGTGACAGGTATCGCGGAAATGTGCACCGTGGAAAGACTTCGGATATCGCGATTTATTAAAAGATACACACTCCTTGGCAAGTGGAACGACCCGACATTTCCAACCGATATGTCATCATCGAACCACTTACGATAACTTCCTTTCTTCCGTAATAAAAAGAAATCTGTTCGAAATTTGCAGAAGGACTCCGAGAGAAGTAAACTCTACATCTTTAGGAAAGGTCACTTTTATCGCGAATTATTTTTATTTTCGATCTCTTCAATCGTATCTGAAATCGTGCGCTTTCAGAAGGAATAACTTCTTTTTCCTTGAGAAGACCAACGGTTTCTCTAGGTATCGTGTTGCCGTGGTTAGTCCGAGGAAGGATCCTCCCCATTTGTCCCCGACGTCGCGTTCGTTATTTGTTCTATCTCCTTGGCGGAGAGACCTTCCTTTTCGTCTCTCGAACGAAGCCGTCGCCCGCAGCCGCTGCCGCAAATATTAATCCGCGAAGAAATTCGCCGCGAAGCGCCGACCTTGTCCTTTCTCGCTCTCTTCCTCTTTCTTCGTCCTTTGTTCCTTCGCTTCGCGAGCGTTTGTTCTCCTACCCCTCTCTGGATTGAACACACGCAATTTATGGCCCTGGTACCTTATCTTCTGCACGCTTTCGGGTAAAACGGTAAACATAGTGGCGTAAATAAATGAGGGTGCACCCGGAGCGCTCAGCATTTAATCCTTTATCTGGCCTATTTTTATTTTTTAATGCCATAAGGATATTGCTCGTGCAGCACTTTTATAAATTCTCCAATTTTTCCTTTATCGCCCATTTTTAATTAAATATTTGATCTACATTTTTTTAAGGCTTTATTCAAAAAAGGAATTATTTGGTATCGCATCAAGAGAAATTTATGCCATGGGAGTTAGTTAATCAATTTCAATGAAAAATTAATTTTCTTTAAAATTCACCAACTATCTGCGTCTAACTCTTAATAGCTCGTTTAAATTTGTATTTCATATTTAATGCTCTGATATTTAATTTAAAAGCCTTAAATTTTTTATTAAAGTATCGCCACGATTTTTAATTGAGAATATAATGAAAAAGAATGTTTCATTTCCTTTTACAGATACTCTACGCGTGACATCATCATTTAGCGAAATTAAAGTCCATCTAATTGAATTCTACGATACTCTCGATGATGTTGAATGATGGAAGAAATAGTCTGAGGGACTTGAAAGGTTTCGCCGACGAAATTATAGAAATGCGTGGAATTTTACGAATGGGTCTCCCCGCGTATTCACGTCTCGTCCTTATCCAACGCGACTCTTATCTACCCATATCAATTAGGTTCTTCCCTCTGTTCGCCAACCGCCGCATTCCTCGAGCTTCTTTCATCGCCGCCTTTTTTGCTCGTTTTTCCGCCCGCCGACCATTCCGACCATTTGCCCTTCGACCTTCGAGCTATCGGCTCGTTTCCGGACGATTGGTTTTTTCTAAGAGAGAATATTTTTGGCGAGCCTGGCGTTCCATCCATCTACAGACGCGGTCGACACGCGACTCGTCCTCGCGTGATCGCGTTTACGGCCTTTTTTTCTTCAGCACTTTCGACGCGAATCGTCTTTTCGTCTCCGAGCCTCGATGCTCGGGAAATCGTAAAAAATCGGGGACGGTACAAGGCAGAAATATTTTAAGATACTTGTAAAGGATGTTGAATTTATAAATTCAGATATGATGTATCTCGATACAGATACAGATACACAATTAAAATGTATGTAGATACAGATGCTCAGATACTTGAAAATTAAAATCAGCTACATATAGATACTTTGAAATTATATTTTATCATAATAATGGTAATATGCACAAAATGTACTGAATAATCCTTTATTAATATTTTTATTTGTACTACGACTTTATTCGTTAGTTTTAACACGTGAAAAATGCCTCAAAGATATCGTCACTCAAACTTTAATCATGGTACTAAAATTTAACCAATGTTTAATAATCGCTCAACCGGTGTTGATGATGATATGTTGATAATTTGCAGTCTTGATCTTTTTTTAAAGAATTCGACTATTAAAAAAAATATGTGAAAATGTATCTGCAAATGTATCTGAAGAAAGCAATTCAGATACCGCATGTTTTGTATCTAGATACAGATACTTCAATTTGAATATCTCTCAGACACACAAAATGTATCTAGATACTGTATCTGGATACATGTATAAATTTATATTTTTTTCGACGTTGAAAAATATATATACATAAAGTTTCCGATTTATATCCGAGCGATTGAAACTAGAATAGTTAAAAATTACTCTATATCGAAAATTTTTCGTCAAGAGCAACAGTGTTTCTATTTATCTACGTTTTCCATAGTGACGAACCATTCCATTATAATATGCATATTTAATCCCGATCCGCCTCTACATATTTAATCCTGTCAGAGAGACAAAATAGCACATTGTTTTATAAGAAGATAAAAAAAAATAAAACCCTAAATAAATAATATCGGTTGCGGTGATAGTTCTCCGGCGATCCTTCGAAATCCCGAAATTCGTGTCTCGCCCGCGAATAATCGTCGCGAATCCACATTCCGATGCGGGACGATACTCCCCACGTTTGTCGCAAAGTTTGGACGGTATCGGGGGATGAGTTATGGCTCGCGACTAGTCCGGATTATTCTATTACGGCCGACCCCACGTAAGACGGCGCTGTAACGCGACGTAATGTGGATTTTAAACGGCACGTTCGCTCCGCCAACACGTGCGGTTACGTCTCGACTTGGCACACAATCTCCTTGCAATTCGGGGATACTGCATCCCAACCCAGTTCACCACCCACTGTGAAATATTGGTTGGTGAACTTTGCGCGAAGCTGGCAAAGAGAAAGAAACGGGTGGTCGAAAAGTGGGAAAGGGGGAGCGAAAGTTTCGTATGCGTGTCGAAAATTTGAATAAACAGATGGTACGTGTCTGGTTTAAAAACGATCTCGTTTCGCGAAAGGAGGAGGAGAGAGAGAGAGAGAGAGGGTGGGAGGGTGGTCGACAGATCACGCCCGCCTCTGTAAAATTCTCCCGCGAACATCTGTGTCGTAATCTCTAATCTCTGTAACTTATATCGATATCGACGTAGTCCCGCAAATTTTCTCTCGCGAACTTTGATTTTGTTGTAGCTTGTATTTCGCTCAAGGAGAGATATTTTCATCGAAAATAGGGATGATTCTTTGTCTTAACGTGGCACATTTTCTAGCGTTTATCATTTTTCTTCTTTATGAAAATAAATTAAAAATAAATAGTTTCCAAATTTTCTTTCTTTCTTAATTGTCGCAATAACATCGCGTGTGGCTCTATTGGCTGAAAGGAATGGAGTGTAGATCGTGTTTTTAAAAATTGAGGAGCTGACTTAATATTCTTATTATTGTTTCGAAAATAAATTATTTGAATTTATTATAAAGCATTTTTCTAATGAGAACGAAATAAGTATTGTAAGAGTAAGACTGAATAATCGAGTGCGACAAGTAATCGGACATTATGTTCACTGTATATAAAATCATGATATAATGTAAGAAAAAAAATGCAAACATATTTATGGTTTGGTGAAAATACTTATTGATGTTCACTGTATATAAAATCATGCTATGATGTAAGAAAAAAAAATGCGAACATATTTATGGTTTGGTGAAAATACTTTTTGATTTATATGACATACGTCAAATGCGCGGAGCGCGAAATTTTCCTCTGCGCGCGTTTTACGAAGATTTATCCACTGCGTGCTCCGACAGACGATAAGTTCTTCTACATCATTTCTCAGACATGACAATGACGAATAATACGCGCGAAAATCGCGACTCGCTAAAGATATTAAGCAAAAGTAATGATAACCGTTCATTGTACCTCGTAAAATATCGTGAATAATATATTTTGGATAACTCTTGCGCGAAACGACGTGAATTGAGAATTTTATCAAACGCAGTTAATTCAAAAAAATCTAATTAAATATTTTCTATTTACGTTTTTATATTTGATATTTTATTATGTATTTATCTCTTGTTCTAATATCTAAATTCGATGTAACACGCGTTGATCATTTCGTCTCGCAGTAATACACAGATATCCAGCAAAGATCTTTTGTACATACACGCAGTTGTTGCCTTCCTGTGTCTTTCTTTGGCTTTCGCGCAATAAATTCTTATGCCACGCGACTACGCTACGGTCGTAAAATTTTGTGTACGTTTTATTGCACCGATACACCACGGTACGTGGTTCTAGGTAACCGAGAGGGATCAACGATTGAAGAGAAAAATAGCAAGTTATTACGATACGCAGCTCATGTATTTTTTCATATAATGTGCGATATATATATATATATATATCTATTTTAAAAATATATGTATTTTAAAAAACTCTCGTGTTATAAGAACGACACTTTTCGATGAAGGTATTATTTTTACAAAATCTTCCTTATTTTTCGGTAAAATTTTGTGACTGTATTATTTGAGAATCAGCTGATTATCGAGGATAGTTGAATTTGCTGTCAATAACTATTGGAATATTCTATAAGAAATTAAGAGCTCTATTTCTTGCGAAAAGCGAAGTCTTGTTGCAATTCTCATTGCACATTTACAGCTGAACGTGGTCGTCTATTTCGCACCGGACGTTCGTATTAAATAAATAACGAGAACCATTGAATTAGACAGCCACGTATCGAAGAGACATATACGAGTAACGACATGATTAGATGAATCTGTATTTGTGATCCAAATTTGTGAAATGCGACTTCTTTATTCACGCAATTTAGCAATGATATTAAATTGTATATACAACTGTAGAAATCTCCTATTGAGTATTTTTATTACAAACTAGCTAATATTACTTATAATAAAATCTTAAAGTAAAATCTGAAAGTTTTTATATCTTTCTTTAATTTACACTTCAATTTATACTTGTATATGTATATACAATAATAATATGCTTTAATTATGTAGGTATATTAAAAACATTTATCAAAAGTCGACTTTAAGTAACTTTGATTTAATTTATTTATCTATCTATTTTGAAGCAACGAACTAATCTACAATTTATAATCTACAATCTATAATCTATACAATCTACAATTTATAAATCCGTTACCTCAAAATTAAATAAAAGTTTATCTCATTCACTGATACCGATGCACAACAGATGTCAAGCTACGTTGTCTGTAACATACAAATATAAGATCTAAATTATAGCAGCATTTGAATTAATTGTTATTTAAAAAAATTATTATTGAATACGGCGAATTTTATTTTCGGTGCGTAACAATTTAATAAACTATGTATAAATATATAATAAAATAATGTTATAAATTTAAAAAAATTTGTATAAATATATAATAAATAATGTTACAAATTAAAAAAATTTTTTAGTAAAAACTTTTATAAAATTTTTAGATAAATATTTATAATAATCTCTTAAAAATTTATATAATATCTCTCACAATCAGTTTCTTTTATTTAAATTGTTCAAATAAATAAATTGAATTAAATATAATTTATAAATAATTAATATACAAATAACGATGTACTCACCTTAGGGTTGCTCCACTGGTGCCTGATGCCTCCTTTAAGCCTCCTCCTCCTCTCAGAATATCAGGGAATCGTCAAAGTCCATTCATTAAAATACGCGCGATACTTTCAACGGAACTCCCGCACTCGCGTACGCGCAATACTTTTAACAGCACTCCCGAATGTCACGTTATCTGAAACATACAAATATCAAATCTAAATTATAGCAGCGTTCAAATTAATTACTATTTCAAAAAATTATTATTGAAATTCGTGCTAAATTTTATAGCCTTTGTTACTCTAAAAGCTATTCACAATTTAAGCTGTCCATAACTGAAAGATTTTTTCAAATCAATTCAGTAGTTTTTTGTTACTCCGAACAATGGAATAAACAAACTTTACTCGTTTATACATGGCCCAGCATTGTACGAGAATTATTATACCATAAATGTTCGAAAAACGGCCACCATATCACTCCTATATACAAAAAAGCGCGTTTTTTGAATTAAGTATTTATTTAGTAGCAATCTACGGTTGGAACTATGCTGCAAAACTATAGTACTCGTCGAAAACTATAAAATTTTATTGTTCAAATTAAGAAAAATGTGAAATGTGCTAACTTTTCAGCCAAGTTAGCATATCGTGCCATTTTGCGAATTTAATCCAATGAATTTTATAGTTTTCGACGAGTTCTATAGTTCTAGAACATTTTTTATTAGTTCCAGCAATTAAAGCGATAATGAATTTTATCCACGCGTTTTTCGGATTAAATAATTGTCTAAAAAATTTTCAAAATATTTTCATGGGCTAAACTCTTTGTATCATCAATGTACATACATATTAGTATAGATATAGATGACGTTATATCATATTGTGTTCATTTAAACACGTCGACTTCGAGTTTCGAGTCTTAACCTCGAGACGGGTCCAGCTGACGGTTTCTCACGGAACAATGCGAATTCATCCGACGGGTATTAGGGAATGCTAATTAATAATTCACATTACGATGCGCCCGATGTAACGCGTTGGCAAAAGCAGGGTCGCATCCTACAACACGACCATTGTTGAAAAGCCAGCAAGGGTGTTCTATGCCTCCGCAGTAACAAATTCTAATTTTGGTCCCCACAACGACTAGCTAACCAATGTGAAATTCAAACGAATTAATTGCACCACGCGGGCCATTCCTTTGTTTTCGATCCTCTCTCATTCTCTCTCCATTTCTCTCTTCATCTCCGCGTTACACTTTAGCTATATATTGTACATTACCGAGCCGTTTATCTACAACATTGCCCGTCTTTCGTACGATCTGCATTTTCGCACGACATGCTAAATATTGATAAATACCACGTGGTAAAATCCCACCGCTCGTCGGTGCTCGATATTCGACAGGCGACGCACAGATTAGCATGAGAGATAGAGGGTACTAATTAACGCTCTAATTGGCAGGCCATCGACCTGCTGTTAAAAATATTAAGATAATCAAAAATGCTTTAGAAATTTTCTCGAATATATTTTACGGAAATTAAAAACGACTTTTTATACGCATATCTTCCATAATTTGCCATATCTATATAATAAATAATATTAATATATTTAGAACGAACAAAATGTTAATTTGCGAATAATGGATATATAGTTATGATTATATTAAATAGAACATTGCACATACAATGTAGCTTTATCAGTAAAATAGCTTGGTGTTAACATATATTAAACTGAACGCGTGAAGAATTAATTATAATTATGTTGTGAGATACTCCGCTGGTGAAATCAAATAGCGACTCTAAGAACGGATACAATTCCATACAAATTTTTAATGAAAAAAAAAAAAACAATTTACAATGCTTTATCATTCTTTTCTTCCGCCGTGGCATTATTGATGCAATAGTTTCCGCCGACGAAACAAATGCGCGTCAATTTATGATTCAATTTTCGAAGAATCTCAAACGCCCCACTTATTCCCAAGCGGGTTTTACACACGCTTGAATGCCGATTGGAATAGAATTTGACGAAGCTCTTAAAAATGATAGAAAACATTTCTTTTCTTATACTTCGATACTGTTTTCTCTCGATAAAAATTCCAATTATTTAAAACAGTATAAAGATGGTATAAAAAATTTAATATAGGTTCTACTAAAAATTAATATTCTTTAAAAAATGAAACTTATAATTTAAAACAGAAAAATTCTAGATTAGTTCTCTGTGTTTTTCATACGTTTATATATAAAATTAAAAAAAAGCATTAAACTTTTCATTTGAATATAAGTTATAATACTTTTTCAAATGTAGTTTCAAAGAACTATTCGTTATAATTCATTATGTCTCTCAATATTAGAAAATATTTCTATATACCTATATTAAATAAAATTTAAAAAAATTAAATAAATGATAAATTGTCTTATTTGCAGCTATAATTAATATCTTCCTAATCATTGCTTCTAATTTAATAATAAAATTGCCTCTGTGAAATACTCAGTTCATTTTTGTAAAATTCAGTACATTATCTCATATAATAAATATGCTTAAAAATACAATATTTCAGCATTAAATATAAATGGAAAAATGCTAATTTTCTCACTGTTTGACGTCTATATGTAATTTTTTCTGCGAGTAAATCGTTTTAGTTTCTCGGGTCTATTTCGCGGCTCGCGGCGCGGCGTTTGTCTGCACCTATCGCGTCTTTCTTCCCTTACCGTCCGACCGTATAAGGCTGTTCTCCACTTGCCCGCTCTACTTGCTCCTCGCGTGACGACGGAATTAAGCCATTCGTTTCGTTTCTAAAGCAACCCGACCGGCAGGGAGCAAATCTTTGTCTGGCCGGGGATCAGAATTGCGCTCGCTCTAATTACATTAAAAATTCCTAAAATCTTAATCAAGAATTTCTCTTCGCGGGCCGCTCTCGAAGAAGATTTAAATCTAAAACAGTCAGTATAAATGGCATTCGCGTACGTGACACGTAAAATCTGATTATTTCGTGTGGAAAAAATCATAAAAAAATTTGTGATACGCATCTTAATCTTAAAGAGATCCTCCATGAGAATACAATTTTTTAATAGCAACGTCTTCCCTTTCGTTTTCCGATTCAATGCGTTTGTTACGATACTTCCGTCGCTTGATTGCATTTCAACGATGCCAATTTCGCAGCAAAATCATTGGTCTCGCTAGTTTTTGATTCAATCGCGTTACGTCGCAAATTTCATTTCGCTGAATATAAATTCGTCGAATTGATTCCACCGGATGGTTGACGTGACACGCGCACCGTAGCTATTAGTACCCTGCAGTGACACGGAATTACATTTTAATTCGTTCAACGCATACATAACACGCGTGCTACATTGCGATCGATACGGCTAATAAAGTTCAATTCCGAATCTTTTCTCGATGCCTCTTATTTTTTTTTCTTTATCACTCGATTTCTACTTCTATTTCTCACTTGCCGGGAATTGGAATCGCCAAAATGCACAAGTTCCGATGAAGAAAGTGCAATAAACTGCTCGGATGCACAAGAAAATGGAGAACATCTTTATTTTACATAATTTTTCTTTATTAAAAACTCTATTAAAAGTTTGTTCTCTAAGTTTTCTGATAAAAATGAAAATTTTCGATACAAGTTACACATCGTAATTTAATAAGCTTGCTTCCCCGCTATACAGATCAATTTAAATTAACTTTGTTTTAAATAACATCCCAATCTCGATTATTTTTAGCCTTTATATTCAAATATAATTATAACATAATAATTGCAACAATTTTAATTCTTTGTTCTCCATTAGGTTTCGACAATCCAGACAGTTTTCGATTGCCGCATACATTGTAAGGTATATACGCAAAAATTAGGAAAAAATTAATTGTCGCCGCTAATAATTAAAACATAAAAAGAACGATAAAGCGTGTTTAAAAATATCGAAATACGTTAATGATCCTCCGAGAGATAATAAAAAATATTATTTTTGGCCTTTATATCTAAATATAATTATAACATAATAATTGCAACAATTTTAATTCTTTGTTCTCCATTAGGTTTCGACAATCCAGACAGTTTTCGATTGCCGCATACATTGTAAGGTATATACGCAAAAATGAGGAAAAAATTAATTGTCGCCATTAATAATTAAAACATAAAAAGAATGATAAAGCGTGTTTAAAAATATCGAAATACGTTAATGAAATAATCCTCTAAGAGATAATAAAAAATATTAAAAAAACACGTGACATAAGGCGTACTTCACGAGTGGTTCTCTCTGCTTTTCATTCCTCCGCATCCGAATTTACAGAAAGGATTCGACGAAGAGAGAGGAAAGGAAATGATCTTCGCCGTCGATTTCTTGATCGTGCACATTCGTCCTGCGGCGCTAGGCCGACAGGATACAGATTGACGACGATGAAGGGAAGAAGAAACATGGACGGAATTGTACCGGGGCCAATTAGCTGAACGTGCGGCGAAGGGCATCGCGCATTTGTTCTCGTTACCGAGGATATTAAGTAATAAGAAAGAATAAGGATCTCCCCGTCTAGATATTGCCGCGTGCGATACGTGACTGCCGCGATTCCAACCGTGGCGAGTCGATCTGATGAACGGCGAACGGCCACCGCGCTAAACGAGAAATAATTGCCGCGGGAAAACTCCCGCAAGCCGGGGAAATTCGTGTCACGCGACGACGACGGAGACGGTGACGTTTTGGCGAACAGACTTTGTCGTTTGAACTTTTTTTAGAGTCGATTTTTTCTGGCGCACATGTCGGGAAAACGAAACTTTGCGGAACCTTGCGTGCGTGAATCGGAATATAGCGACCCTCGAAGAGAAATTAAAGATTAAAAAGATATTTTTGAGAAATGTAATTAACGAGTGCAATTCTGATCCCCATATATATATATATATATATATATATATGGCCATATATATATATATATGTCAAAATATATAAATGCATAACAGGTTTCATTGTGTCATTTTTGTAATAATTTTTATCATTTTTTCTTACCTTTAGAATTTAATTTGTAAAAGATGCTATATTTTTAATAAAGATATATTTATAATTTTAAGAAGAGTGTATTTTATTACTTTAAAATATAGCATATATGTGTAATTTAATATAAAAAATAGCCTGAGTTGAATTTGTTCTTATTTTCAATTTTAATTTTCAACCTCTATTTTCTTCCTTATACCATATTTATAGATTCTAGTAGATTTGGA